TTGTTTTCTTTGGGCGGCGGGCGTTGTATGCGGAATGAGATCCAGTGCCTTGCTGTGAGCAAGGCACCGATGAACAGTACGGTGACTGGCCCCCCTTTCCGCATCGTCCAAACCAGAATCAATGGTCAGATTTGCGTGAACAGTGGCAATTCTACAGTGTTCGGTCTACAGTACCCCATCTACAGTGTTCGGTCTATAGTCCCCGTACAGTGTTCTGCGTTACAGTATTCGATCTGAACTGCCCCCCTTGATCCAACAGCTGACTGGCCGCCAGTTACGTACGTCGTGTCTTGCTGTGGGCAAGGCACTGGATCTCTGTCCGTTGTATGCAGCCTTTTGCAGGCCAACATGACCCGCTGTGGTAGGAAATGCCGCGCCATGTCCAACTTCAGTTCTAGCCTTTGCAGCACGATAGATGCTAGTCGGTCTCATTGGTGTTTCTCTACATTTCAGACATGTTCAGTTAACTCCAATATATACGGGAAGTGGATAGATGAACACGGGTACATATGAACTCACTTTGAAAAACACATTTCTAAATGCCAAAAAAATCTGAAAAAGTTTGCACGGATACATCTTCATGTTCTATGTGCGTGCATAAAGTTTTTTTTTTTGAGCCTTGTGCAAAAAAGACAAAAAATTGTGTCGTGAAACGCTATTTAGAAGCACTGAAATTTGTCTTTTTTACGGAGGCAAACCAGAAAGACATTTTTTCACAAAACTTTATGCCGTGTGCACACACATTTGCGAACATGTATGCATACAATTTTCTGTTCTATTTTTTAACATTTCGAAACATGCTTAAAATGCAGTTTTTTAAAAGTGGGTGCAGATGCCCATGCGTTCAGAGAGTGCCCACTTCAATATGTACCTCTTATTAACTAAGAGCATCCTATATTCTGTGACACCCCAAAGCCTAAAAATAAAAATGCATTCGCGGGAAAGCAACCATTGCCAAGCTCACAACGGCGCAGCCCTGATTATGTCGATTCTGGCAGTCCCCGCCGCGCCACCACCCAAGATGAGCCCCAACGCCCGCTGAGCTTGCCTCGGATGTCCTGTCGTTATGCCATCGTGTAAGCGTTAGCCCGATTCCTTGTATGTCTAACGCGAAATCCTGACCTGACAGCCGAACCTTGTATGTTTAACGCAAAATCCTGACCCGACAGCCGAACCTGGCTCGGGAAACATAAAAGAACCCTGTTTCGCACAGACCGACGGTAAACAGTTGCAATGGTGTGATTAGGACTAGGCAGAACCGCCCATTCCTCCCCTCCATAACCTGCCCTACCACCACAGCTTTTCTTCAGCTTCCAGTGAGCTCAGCCCCGACGACCTCCACCGGTGAGGTCAAAATCAAACTTACGCCTCAGCACCCATCAGATTGGCTTTCCAGCCTCCACACCGTCGGATCTTCATGTTTCATTTACTTCTAAAAATTTAAGGTATCCAGTTTTAGGCTTTGGCTACCTAAAACCTACTCTCCACACAACTAAAAACTGTTTTTAGGTATCCAAAAAATTTTAGTCTGGCAGTTGAAGATGCCCCGATGAGAGTATTTATTCTGGGTTATAATAGAATGGCTATGAACGTACTTTTAGCATTTCCAACAAATAGCTCAGCATCTCATATGCATGAAACAACAAAGTAGTTTAACAAGGCAAGCTGGGTCGATCCTGGTACATCATCACGGAAGCAAAGCAAGCACGGGTGTTTCTATCAAGTAGCAGCTCTGGGCATAATAATTCCCTATATCTAGGGAAGCAAATGGCAACCGCGGCGCAAACTTAGTCCTTCCTCAACTCGATGTACTCGCGCCTTGTACCAGCTTTGTTGATGACTACAATCTCCACCTTGTCCCCCTGCATTATTTGCAAGTTCAGCAGATTAGTACAGTGGCAAATGTATAGACAGCAACAAACGATGATCTCTGGGAACCGAGTGAGGGAAACATACGGTGTAGATGTCCCTCTCAGTTGCAGATGCAAAGACATCCTTAACTAGGTCGACCGCCTCTGACTCGGACAAAGGGGTGACGGCATCCTGCACACATTATAAGGAAGAAGATTGTTAGTGACCTCTGAGGCACTATTCCAATCGTCATTTATCAATATGACCTACATAAACATGCTTGTTTTAGTCAGCAAGAATATGTCAGACATGATCAACCAATCTGCAACTTCATAGCTGACAACAAATACTCCTGAGCACTGTAAAAAATGTGAGGGCTTACTCTTGCAGGGACTAATAGTGGACTAGGTGATTTCAGCTGGTTGTCCAACACTGGCATGATCAAAGTAGATCCTGATCCCTGAGCACTGTAACCAGTCCTCTCATAGGACCCAACAGCATCATACGAGTACACGCATCCTTTCCCTGCACAAGTATGATACATGCTTCAGACACGCTAAACAGGACAATCGAACTGGGGAAACCAAATACGGAAGTTGGTACCTTCACTGTCAAGCCCACCAAGCACGTTGAAAGCATAATATGGGAAGAATCGCTTGTAGTACAGAGTATTGGAGAGCAATTGTGCCATTGCTGGGCAGCTCATCCTTTTATTGTGCTGGTGCTGGTATAGCTACATATACAAATAAAACAGAAGGACATTAATCATTTAGCTACCAATATTTCTGTACATCATGAACAGATTAAAGGTACGCTGCACAAATGCAGCTTAATACTGGTACTGCAGTGCATTCCAGGTGTACAAAGTAGCAATGAACTATCATCACTTTTGTACATAAAAAAAAAAAGCACTTGTTGCATTGCCAGGCAAAGTTAGTACTCCCTACCCGTCCCAAGTGACGTGGTTTTAGTTATTACCAAGGAGAAGAGAAGAGAACAGAGAGCATGTTTGAGGAGGCAATGGATAGAAACACAAGGAAATATGATGAAGTAGCGCATATGCCATATGGTTAGATTAAGCCTCAAATGGAAGCACAGAGTTGCTAAAATCTTCGCTAAACATTATGGTGAGCTTAAGCCCCAAAATAAGGCGAAGAAAAGGAGTTGTTAAAATCTTCCCTAAACATTACTAATCAAAAAAAAGAGGCTGATGGTACTAGCACCACGATGCTAATGCAGTTTTCTTTGTACCACAAGCACGTATCCTACAAATATATGATAAGCAGTGTACTGATTTTCAGCAGTTTCAGAATGCTACAGTTTATACTTTGGACCTAACATCAAATTTCCAGGCATTGCAATAAACAAAAATTGCCATGTATCCATGCCCAGGGAACCAGTAATGGTGGAGCAGTTCTTCTGGTATTTGGTCTGGAACTGTGATGAAGATGGTCCAAAAAACAAACAACTTCAATCAGAGTAACTGCTAACTGACAATATTTTTGGAAGTTCAAATAACTTAAGACCACCGCCAGATCAAATACTCCCCAAGGAAATCCCAAAACACATAGCTATAGAGAATTCGATTGGGATGAAATGAAACCATGCAAGAATCATTTGGTATCAACACTGAAGGTGTGAATGTATGTATATAGGCAACACGTGGATAAATGAGGTTTTGCAACTTTACCAGTTCTCTGGCAGCTAAGTTCTTCTGTAGAGCTTTGATGTCACCTTGGAAGCCAGAAGATGCTATTACACATTTATCGGCCCTAGACAAATAAAGAAATGATGTTTTATGCAAGCAATGAGCCACATATTGAAATTCTTAACAGCATATAAATTGTCAGCTTAGGAAATATCCAGCTTCATCACAAAGCGGGATAAAGAGACATTGTTAACAAGAACGAAATCCAATTGCATGATAATAACTTATACCTGCTAATGTGTGCTTACAACACCACAACGTTTGCTTACACTAATACAACAAGATATTACTGCATTGTACTTATATCATCAACTAGACTTCATTAAGAATTAAATATAAATGATTACCGTGTAATAACATTAAGCAGGAAAATAGCTTTGCTGAACATGCTCTACTAAAGCAAAAATTGGGGGACTTGTGGGCATAACCAAATGCAAGTAGCATCACAACAGCAAGGGTGTATTGGAACATAATTACAGCACAACCAATGAAGATATCAATTGTATCGTCATCGCTTGCATCATATTATGTTATGTGTCCTACTCAAGACGGTGTAAACCCAAAAGCTTGTCATCAATTTTCACATCAACAACAGTATGGAGCAAACCTATAGGCAAGAGGTATTATCAATTACCCGCTATCCATAACAAACAGTTTTAACACCTACAGAACCAAAATAGAACCAATTACTTTTGTCATGTTACGGCAGACCAATCCCAGAAGACACACATCATGGATCTATAGAAGAATTTCAAGATGAAGGTCACTGTACACTTTCTGAATGCCGCCAGTATAGAAGCAAACCTGATGGCATCTTACAAATTTTATCTGTTTGAACTTAAAAAGATAAGCATAAAAATGAAACAATAAGAACATCTTTCCGTCTCCCAAACCAATCCTCTACTTAATTACAGGGACGAAGATGGCTGTCCAGGCTAAGACAAAAGTATCCTATGACCTGGAGTGAGGGTACACAAACTAAAGACAAGGCATGTTTCATGTCTATGTCGTCTCTCCATAGATGTCGGCAAATCGCATCAAACTATAACGCTATAGGAAGCACGCTGGGACAGCCAGTATTTACAGCAGAAAAAACTCATGAACGTTTAGGTGTTTCCCCAAATTCAACCCGAGACCTCCAAGCACCAAACCCTAGCCAAATCAACGAAGTGAGGCTCTAAAATCCGACCCCTCCACCAAGGTATCCAAATCCCTATCACACCACAGAGCCACACGGCCTCCCGGACGACGAACCCTAGTCCCCAGGCGGGCAGATCGAGGCGCGAGATTTCGGCGGGGGGACTTACAGCTCGCAGATCTTGGAGTGCTCGCGCGTGAGGATGTTGTATCCGACGGAGAGGCGGGTGTCGGCGGCGACCACGCAGTAGTCCGCGCCGGCGATGGCCACGCAGGTCCTGCACATCCACCAACCAAAAAAGCGGCCCTCGTTATGAGATGCGCGGAGACGGGGGCGAAGGCGGGGCCGACGAAGGTCGAGAGGGAGGGCGCTTACCCGCCGTTGTTCTCGTAGACCCAGTCGCCGCGCCTCGACATGGCGGTGGTCGTAGAGGGCGGGCTGCTTGGGGGGTGGTGGTGGAGTCGCCGGAGTTCGTGGCTTGGAGAAGGAGGCGAAGTGGAGCAGTGCGGTGCCCTGTGTCTCGCTTCCTTCCCCCTTTGATCAGATTTCTTCGTGGCCTTCTCGATCCCGGCGGCCTGAGGCTTCGTGGGCCGTTCTGGGCCGAGATGGACTGGACTTTCTTTATGCGCGACAAGCACGAGGCTTTCTATCGGGTCTGAATTGGGGCCCAGTCCCCGACAGAAAATATTTCGCTTTTTCTCGAATACGTTTCGTTTTGTGTTATAATATAATCCGATAGTTTCTCCTTCCTTACAAAAAAGTAGTCCACGGCACATCTTAATGACTTAATTAGCACCCAAAAAATACCCACACGAATCTTCACGTAAGATCAATGGCGCACGACTTAGATGTACAATATTTATGGTACATCTAGATGTGCTTTACCAAAACTGAAAAATGTAAGCCAATACTATCCTCATTTTCTAAATAATTGCAACACACTAACTATTTTTAAAACAATGCAACCATGTCACATCTGCAAGTGTGAGTCATCGATTATATTTTCTTGCATAAACATGTAGCTGCCACATAATCAGTCCATGGATGTGAGTCATAAGTTGTACTTTTTGCATTATGTTTTCTGTTGTTAAGGATAATCCAGTGTATTAAGCACTTGGGGCATACCTATGTACTCTCTTCGTGCCTAAATATTTGCCTTTCTAGAGATTTCAACAAATGACGGAGCAAAATGAGTGAATCTACACTCTAAAATATGTCTATATACATCTGTATGTGAAGTAGTTCATATTTATTTTTTTGTGTTAGAAATGACATCCTTTTAACCGAGGTTCATTTTTCTTTTTATACATCATTTTGTTTTATACTTTATTTTTTAGATATAAATTGAGAACACCGTTATTTTTTACTTTCCATGAGTTTTTGTTATTCTGGTACCAGATATTTATGTATTTCTTTTGACAGGGCTTCCACAATGATGTGCGGGGGTATCAAGTTCCAAAAAAGGAAAGAAAAAAAGCAATCTGATGTCATGTAGGAGACTAGGAATAATGCAATAACAATATGAAAGTGCGTTATATCGACTAGAGGGGATGAATAGGCGATTTTTATGAAAATTCTTCACTGAGGAATTTGCCGGTGAGGAAATTCCTTAGCGAAGAACTACTAGCAGCGGAATAAGTACTCAAAAGTAAACATAACAGAATACAAGCATAGTCATCATGATGAAATGAAGACAGGCACAGAGTACAGGAAGCGTAAGCACAGGATAACACAAGATGAAGACAAACAGACTGAAGAAATTGAACTGAGGAAATTGAGAAAGTCTTCAGTCAAAGCCTTCAAACACAGATATGAACAAACACACAACACAGTTATGAGGAAATAAAAGAGTTGAGGGAATAGAACCAGTAAGCTTGGTGAAGACAATGATTTGGTAGACCAGTTCCAACTGTTGTCTCAGTTGTACGTCTGGTTGGAGCGGCTGAGTATTTAAACTCGAGGACACACAGTCCCGGACACCCAGTCCTGAACACGCCGCTCAGTACACCCAGTCATCACCATATTCTCCTTGAACTAAGGTCACGCAGACCTCGTCCAATCACTCGTGGTAAGTCTTCAGGCGACTTCCAAACCTTTACAAACTCGGTCACTCGGCGATCCACAATTCCTCTTGGATGCTGTAGACCATGATGCCTAACCGTCTGGAAGAAGCACATTCTTCAAAGGTAACAAGTGTCGGATCCACTCAGGATCAATCTCTTCAGTGATGCTCAATCACTTGGGGTTTGTAGGTGTTTGGGTTTTGGGTTTTTGGTTTTTCCTCACTTGATGATTTTCGCTCAAAGTCCTTAGAGGATGGGTTGCTCTTACATGACAAGTGTCAGTTTCTCTCGGAGCAGCCAACCAGCTAGTGGTTGTAGGGGGCGACTATTTATAGCCTAGGGAGCAGCCCGACATGATAAGACATAAATGCCCTTCAATGATATGACCATTAGGTGGATAAATATTTTGGGACAGCTGGCGCATAGCATAGCAACAGTCGGAATTTTGAGTAGCAAAAACCTCAGGGCTATCATGTTCCTCACTGTGTAGGCAATCCGCACTGGCAAATTCCTAACTCCTCAGTCAGGACAAATTCCTCAGAGATTAGAAGAACTTCGTCTCTGTCACTGAAGAAATTGACTGAACTGTATGAGATTTCCAATGGCTTCACTCAAAGGGATTGATAGGTGTAGGATTTTGAGTTGAGCATCACATGGAAATTTTTCCTTAGTATTTCCTCAACCCCCTTTAACAGTACGGTGTTTCCTATGACTCAAGAAAGAGAAAATGAAACTATGAAAACAAAAATCTTCACGCTTCATATTCCTCGAATGAATACCAAGTCTTCACGGTCACACCATTTTCTTCACTTTCAAAGTCTTCATGAAAGTCTTCAGAAATACCAAAATCTTCAGTCGAAGATATTCATTTTTAGGGGTCGGCTTTTCCTGTAAATATCAAACTCCTCATAGACTTATAGACCTGTGTACACTCACAAATGCATTAGTCCCTTAACCTATAAGTCTTCAATACACCAAAATCACTAAGGGCACTAGATGCACTTACAATCTCCCCCTTTTTGGTGATTGATGCCAATATAGGTTAAGTTTTCAACGGGGATAAACATATGAAGTGTAACTACTGATATTGAGGAATTTGATTGCAAGATATAGAAAAACTCCCCCTGAAGATGTGCATAGTGAGGAATTTGCTTTTGAAGCAATGCACACATGAAGAGTTGAATCATGGAGATCTCCCCCTATATCTTGTAATTTATACATGCATTTAACATATAATATGAGGAATTTGAAATACATGATGAAATATGGTGCCTGATGAAATTCAGCATGTGTGCAATAATATTAACGAGGAATAAGCATGCAGAATAATGCATCAAAAGTATCAGAGCATGGTGCATCAAAAGTATCAGAGCATCATCGGGTTTAAGATTACAACTCGATCCAATAAAGTTTCAGAAGAACGAGAGTTGTAACTTAGCAAAAAAACACCCATATAGTAGACCCGCTTGAAGACTAACTCATATTTCTCCCCCTTTGTCATTGAATGATCAAAAGGATCAAAAATGAGGACTAACGCCCCTGAGGATAATCATGTTGATGAAGGAGCGCCAGCGTTGTTGGGGTCATTTGTTGATGTAGGGCCTGCCGCAGTGTCGTCCAAATATTCATGTTCATCAGTGTCGCGCGATGAAGAATATGAGCTGGCCACCAGAGAAGGAACCTTGACCTTCTTGAATTTCTTCGGTGGAGGTGCAGACCAGTCAAAATCTTCATTAAGACCCATGTTCTTCAGATCTTCTTCACCATACAGATGTGACAGGATTGCCCAGGTGCGACCGAAGACTTGATGGAGGTAGTAGTGGTTTTTCTTCACTGCATTGTGTGTGGCAGTCATGTTGTGAAGAAGTGAACCAAACTGACGCTTAATCCATTTGTGATTTCGATCCAACTTCTGGTGAAGACTAAGCAGAAGTTCACGGTCAGTCATCACGCGCGGAGCAGTGGCTTGAGGAGTGAACTTGGGTGCATTGGCAGAGTCATCATTGATGGAATAAGATGCAGCTTTACGAAACTGACCATCCAATGGACGAATGCCTTCATCTATTACAGCTGGTGCCTTGCCCTTTCCATCAACTAAGGAATATGTCTGCTTGAGGACTTCAATTGGGGGCAAGTAGCTGAGGTGATTCTGGAAATCAGCTTTGTAGTTGAGTGAAGACCTTGTCCTGAGGAATCTCATAATCCAAGGTGCATAAGGCTTCAGCTCAAACGGAGACAGTGCAACATTGGCCATAGTCCTCATGAAGAAATCGTGATAATTGACAGGAATGCCATGAACGATGTTGAATACCAGATTCTTCATGATGCCAACAATTTCCTCATCAGATGAGTCGTGGCCTTTGATAGGACTGATTGTCCTCGTAAGAATACGATAGACAGTTCTGGGCACATACAACAATTCCTTCACGAGGAATTTGGTTCTTGGTGCCTGACCTGGCTTCAAAGGTTTCATCAGCACCTGCATGTAATGATGTGTGAGCTCAGGCTCACTGTAGATGCAGCGAGCTTCTTCAAAGGGAGGATTGAGTGGTAGAGCATGAAGCAATTCAGAGGCTGGTGCAGTGTAGTGAGTGTTTTCAGACATCCAGTCCAGCACCCATGAATTCACATCTTCAGCATCTCCGGTGATGTGCAGCGTTGCATAGAATTGAAGAATCAGTTCTTCATTTCAATCGCAGATGTCAGAGCAAAAGTTTAGCAGTCCAGCATCGTGAAGAACACTGAGGACTGGTGCGAAGCATGGCAGAGATTCCATATCCACGTGAGGAATATGCTCATGGTAGAAGATCTTCTCCTTGTTGAACAGCACTGAGGAATAGAAATTGGCTTGACTAGCAGTCCAGAAACACCTGTTCTTAATGCGAGCAGAGTCATATGGGTTGTAGTCTTCGAAGAATATGTGCTCGCCGAAGAAATCATCAGCCTTGAATTTTTGCTTGCGTGAGAATGGATCCTTTGGCTTCATCAAAGGAGTGTCAGTGAGTTGCATCATGACCTCAGGAATCTCAATCGCAGGTTCTTCAGGCTGAGGAATTTTTGGTTCCTCCTCAGTGGCAGTCTGCGTCGTTGGTTGTTCAGCAGCAGTAGTTTCTTCAGCGCTAGTGGCTGGAATTTCCTCATGGACAGATGCAGTGGGATGAGTTTCTTCAGAGCCCATGTGTACAGTTTGTGTGGGGGACTGAGGAATTTGCTGTAGAGGGGTGAACATTGGAGAGTTTGGATGCTGACTTTCCTAGAATTCATCACTGATAACAGGTGTGGAGCAGCCAATGTCCACATCTTAATCTTCCATTTCTTCAACGCCAACATCTTCAGCTGTGAACTGAGGCATA